AAAATTTTTACAATCTATCCATCTGACAAAGGTCTAATATCCAGAATCTACAAAAGCCTTAAAACAAATTTACAAGAGAAAAACAACACCATAAAAAAGTGGGCAAAGGATATGAACAGACACTTCACAAAAGAAGACATTTATGCAGCCCACAAACATATGAAAAAAAGCTCATCATCACTGGTCATTAGATAAATGCGAATCAAAAACCAAAATGAGATACCATCTCCTGCCCATAAGAAGCATGACAATCAAATGTCAGGAGACAACAGATGGTAGAGAGTTGGTGGGAGTGTAAATTAGTTCAACCATTGTGGAAGACAGTGTGGTGATTCCTCAAGGATCTAGAACTAGAAATATCATTTGACCCAGCAATCTCATTACTGGGTATATACCCAAAGGCTTATAAATCATTCTATTATAAAGATACATGCACACATGTTTATTGTGGCACTGATCACAATAGCAAAGACTTGTAACCAACCCAAATCCCCATCAAGGATAGACTGGATAAAGAAAATGTGGCAAATAAACAAAATGGAATACTATGCAGCCATAAAAAGGATAAGTTCATGTTCTTTGCAGGGACATGGATGAAGCCAGAAACCATCATTCTCAGCAAACTAACACAAGAACATAAAACTAAACACCACATGCTCTCACTCATAATTGGGAGTCGAAAAATGAGAACACATGGACACAGGGAGGGGAACATCACATACCGGGGCCTGTTGGTGGGTGGGGAGCTAGGGGAGGGATAGCATTAGGAGAAATACCTAATGTAGATGATGGGGGGATAGATGCAATAAACCACTGTGGCAGATGCATACCTATGTAGCAAACCTGCATGTTCCACAGATGTATCTCAGAATATACATTATGATTTTTAAAAAGTTTGTAAAGTACTTTCTGCACCCAGGAGAGAAAAAAAATGTTCTCTAAAAAATAGTGTGACTTTTTTCTATACTAAATATAATTTTCCCCATTTCCCCTTCAAGAAGTATAAGAGTAGCAAGTGTTTAGAGCTCTCCCATAACCTACAGCAGAAAGAGTGGTTTATGCAATGTTAACACATTCATGCTTGAGTAAGACATGCTTCCAAGGGTACCAAGAAGGAAGAGGCAGAAAATGCAGAAGCAGCCTGGCTCACTATCACAATTTTTCTTTAGTGAGCGCATATCTACGTCTTACAGAACTAGAGAAAAAGTAAGATTCAGACATAACTTAAAGAGCCCCTCCAAACCTACACATTTTAGAGATGGGGGACAAGGCCTAGGGTGGAAACGACTCGTTTGTGATTCCTCAGCCAGTTAGTGACCAAGGTGGGACCTGAAACCAGAACTCCCAATTCTAAGTCTAGTATTCTTTCTGATGAACCATTCCCTCCTCACAGCTTTTGGTTTCATTAAACCAAACACAGTCCTGGGCTAAACTACTGTCTTCTGGTCCAGCTAGACACAGCTTTTTCCACCTCCCTTTGATGCCTGTGATTATAGGGTGAGACAAAGAGATAGCTCCCATTTAAATACTTAACTTCATCACCAATAATAGTTGAAAAATAAGGAATCAGCAAGTTGTCAACAAAAGGTTTGATTGGGTGGGCTGAATTGGAAAAGTCCTTAAAGCAGGATCATATCACTCCCTACGTTCTGGAAAGAGAAATAACTTCCACTGCTGTCCTGAGCCTGTGGCCCATAGGAAGAGGTAAAGATGTGTGGGAGTTGGGAGAGCCTTCTAAGGACTTCCACTGGGCTAATATCTGAGATCTCTGGGAAAATAATTTTGCTTCTTAGAAACTCAGTCTGCTGATCTAGAAAACAGAAATAGCAATAACAACCTTTGTCCTCTGAAGATCAAATGACATATGATATGAACGTACTTTGCCAATCAAAGCGGTACATACATATGAGCAATTATATTTATTTTTGACTTTAAGCAATATTTATCGAGCATCTAGTATCAGGCACTGTGCTAGGGGGAATATATCAGTAAATCAACAGATGAAAACCCCTGCTCTTCATGGAAAGTGCATTCCAGAAGGGGAGACAGAAAATAAACAAAATATATCAGTTAAATATATAATATGTCAGATAGATAAGTGTAAAGGATAGAAATAAAGCAGGAAAGGGGTAGAGGCATTGCAACATTACCAGATTAAATAGAATGCTTAGAGAAGTCTCAAGAAGATGATATTTGAGCAAAGACTTGAAGGAGCTAAGAACAGGAGCCATGTAAATGTGGGGTGGGAGGGGAATGCTTTAAGCAGAGGGAAAAAACAGTGCAAATGCTCTGAGGGTGGAGCATATTAGTAATGCTGAAGGAAAAGCAAGAGGCCAGTATAGCTGTAGTAGTGAAGAAAGCATGGCAGAAAGGAGCAGGAGGTGAAAGTCATAGAGGCAAGGATGGGTTGATCATACAGGCCCTTGTAAGTAATAATAACTTTGGCTTTTATTCAGGGAGAAATGGTGAGCCATTAGAAGGTTCTCAGCAGAGGAGTGATATGATCTGATTTAGATCTTGACAGCATCCCTCAGCTACCAAATGAAGAATAGACTATTTAATTTTATGAAAAACACTATGACATTGTAATATAGGTATCATTTTGGAGCAACATTCCTCAAACTTTATTATGTATTATATATCAGATAGTAACTTAGTTAAAATGCATATGCTGATTCAGTAAGTCTGGGTTGGAGCCAAATATTTTGCATTTCTAACAAGTTTCCAGGTGATACAGATGTTGCTGGCGTAAAGTACAACAATTTGAGGCTAGAAGTTATGTCCACAGGCCTGGTACAGAGCAGAATTCCACTAAAAGTTTGCTGAATGAATAAAGTGTCAGTGGTTTTATGCTGAATGCCATGTAGCACATTCCAAGGGAGATTTTTTTTTTTTTAGCATCAATCATTGATGTGAAGGGAGAAGGAATTAAAAAAAAGATATATGGATGGATGGGTGAATAGATTTTAAAGAGAGGCAAAAAAGAAAATTACCTTTTTCCAAATACAACATATGTTATGCAATATTATATTTACTTGAGTTTGTGTCCTTTGTAGGGACATGGATGAACCTGGAAACCATCATTCTCAGCAAACTGACAGAAGAGCAGAGGATCAAACACCGCATGTTCTCAC